TTTTGTATTGCCTTTTGCACTTTTGTATTGCCTTTTGCTGATTGTTACTGATCACCAGCAAGTTGACACGGGAGCTGAGGCACAGGGTTGAGGACGTTGTAGACAGCGTGGAGGGGACAGTAGAAGGGCAGGGGGTGGCAGTGGGGACAAGAGCCTGACAGAGGGATGGAGGGGACAAAGGAGACTGCTCAAGAGCACGGGGCCACCCCAGGAGGTCACAAGTGCCAGCAGGTCTCTGACACCTCCCCTGTCCCCTCTCCAGCTGTGAAAAATGCATATTTTACGATTGACTTGTTGCAAATACTAAAATGAGTATGATATGTTTTATGTTAGAAAGTGATGCTGTATTAATTTTTTTATGTAGTGTGTTAAATATAGTTTTAGGTCATAACATAATGTTAAAATAGAAACTATGCTACGTAAGATGTTTTCTTAAAGAGAGAACTTGCAGCGAGATGGCAGCCACAGGACATCTAAATCTTTCAGAGAAAGAGAATTTATGGCTCCATTGTCAGAAGAAACCAACTTCTTCCCACCTTGTTCAGCCCTGAAGATGCCATTATGATTAAGAGAAGTTGACACTGCCCAGACAGAATCTTTTGTTTGAAGCAAATTTATGCATCATGTATGAGATGTATGAATATGCAACCGGCTATTGCTTTTAAGGGTTAATCCTCTGTTAACTTGTGTCCTTTTTCAGGCTTATTTTGCCCAGAAAGAGGTACCCAGACTATCCATAACATTTTATTTTTATTGTCTCATATTGTCCTAAATCCCAATTGTTCAAATTTTTATTACTCTCTCTATATTACTATTTTTATAACTATTTTATTAATATTTAATTTTTAAAATTTTTTTTAAAAGTGATTGGCATTTTTCACAGAAATTGTGAGAGTATGATCAACGGCTCAGTGCAGGCTCATGTCTCTGCTGTGGTCAAGGAACTCAAAGAGGAGATGAGGGAGATGAGGGAGGAGGTGAGGAAGATCAATGCAGCAGCCATGTGAGCCACAGGCCCCAAAGTCAGAGCCCAATATCCCCAGCTGGACAGAGAGGGTGCACCCCAAGAGGGTACACACCAAGAGTGAGACAGAGAGGGTGCACCCCTCGAGCTGACCTGTGCTTCTGTCTGTGACCATGGGGAAGACACGGGAAGGTGGGATGGGAAACACACTTCTGTTGGGAAGGATGAAAGTTTGACAAGAAAGTCTCGCAGATATGGATGCTTGGCAGAAACTGTTTTGAATTGTACAATCTGAAGAAGGAATAGAGATGGAATGAAGTTTTGATATAGAAGAAAAGAATTGCTGAGCCAGTCTTGCTGGATAACCAAGGAGGCAAAGGGTGTGTTAGTTAGAAGGAGGTTTTTATGACTTAGAGCAAAGGATAAACCCACCTCAAACAAGAAGATATTTTTACCAAGCAGAAAAATAGCACAAGCAAACAAGTCAGCAAATGTTGCAAGTAGAAGAAAAGGTCTCAGAATTTTCTACTGCAAGAAAATGAAAAAACAATTTTTAGCTTCAACTGCAATGTACTAACTTTTAGTGACTGGAGAATAGTAACGTGAATAAGGTAATTATAGTAGTTATGATAGACTATAGATAAAAGTTAAGGTATAGATTGGTTCTACTGTATTAAGATGCTCAGCAAAAAAATGTATATCATGCATTTGTAACCCAAACTAAGGGTCTCCAGGCCTGCCTGCAGCTGACAGTTGTAAGCACAGGCTATGTCACCCACCACCCTGGACTGCTTTAACATCCTGGATGTAATAAATTGCATTTTGAAGAGCCACCTGGAGTCCCACATCTCTCATTCAGGCTCTTAACAGTGATGCCGAACATGAGCCGCCTGAATGAGGAATGCGGGTCTGCAGGCCTGCCTGCAGCTGGAGCTGACAGCTGTAGGTGCAGGCTCTGTCACCCACAACTCTGGACTGCTGTAACATCTTGAATACAGTAAATTGCATTTTGAGGAGCCACTTGGAGTCCCACATTTTTCATTACAGCTCTTACAGTGGCGCCCAACGTGCGGCGCCATCAGTAACAGCGTGAATGAGGGATGTGGGTCTCCAGGCCTGCCTGCAGCTGCAGCTGACAACTGTAAGCACAGGCTCTGTCACCCACGACCCTGGACTGCTGTAACACCTTGAATGTAATAAATTGCATTTTGAAGAGCTGCCTGGAGTCCAGCATTTCTCATTAAGGCTCTTACAGTGGCGTCCAATTTGGGGCGCCCTTAGTGAGAGCCTGAATGAGAAATGCAGATCTCCAGGCCTGCCTGCAGCTGGAGCTGATAGGTGTAAGCACAGGCTCTGTCACCCACCACCCTGGACTGCTGTAACATCTGGGATGTAATAAACTGCATTTTGAAGAGCCGCCTGGAGTCCCACGTCTCTCATTATGGCTCTTACACAGGTGCACAGGGCAAATGTGGAGTCTGGCAAATCTGGGGCCATCTCAGTACACCACCTTTACTGCAACGATCAATGCTGATACCAACCAAGAGACAGTGGGCTCTGTCACCAGCAAGCTCAGAAATTGTGAGAGTGTGATCAATGGCCCAATGCAGGCTCATGTCTGTGCTGTGCTCAAGGAACTCAAAAGGAGATGAGGGAGATAAGAGAGGAGGTGAGGAGGAACCGTTCCCACATCGCACCAGTGCAAGCCACAGGCCCCAAAGTCAGAGCCCAGCGTCCCCCAGCTAGACAGGGTGCATCCCAAGAGCTGACCTCTCAGATTCCCTACTGTCAGGATGACCCAAGAGTCCTTTTTTCCCAGAAAAGAAAGAGTCAGGATTCTTCGGCTCTGGTTCACCAGGTTGTTTCTTTTCTATTATCTAAAATATTTTCTCTCCGACCCTCAGAGGTTTGCTCTGCAGGTCTGTCAAGGGCACACTGCCCACCCCTGGGTTGGTGTCTACATTTTATACTACGAGTTACGCGTACTTTATTTATCATTATTTTCCAATACCTATCACCTCTGTTAGACTGTCTAGTTCTATTTTAAATTAATCCAAGTATGCCACCATCACCCAGAAGATGGAGGCTACAAAGAAGAAGGAAGAAGGACAGGACAATGCCCAAATCCCTCCATCTTGCTTCCTAGACCCCCTATAACAATATCCCCAAAACTCCACTTTTTCATTAATGATTAATTAGTGATTAATTCATTAAGATTCTAGTTAAACTTCTGTGACTTGTGATTCTTCGTACAAGGTTGATAATTTGCTCCATGGGTTAAGATTGAAATCCCAAGTGTCTTTGGCTTCCTGCCAGGACCCCCCAGCCCCCTGCCAGGTGGGGTCACCCTGGGCACCCCTCTGGGTGTCCCGGGTTCCAACACTGACCTGTGGTTCTCCCTGAGTGACCATGGGGAAGACATGGGAAGGTGGGATGGGAAACACACTTCTGTCCTGGTGCATCTGCTCAAGGAGGGAAACACTAACCAAGGGAGTTCCACTAAAGTGAAGGCAGCCTCAACCTCCCATGACCGAGCTGCCAGGTATGATCTGTCAGATCCCCTTGAAGGAACCTCTAGCATGTATGCCCAGGAAAGAAATAATAACCAGGGCTGGAGGGGCCCTGCCTGTAGCCAGAAAAAGGCACAGGAAAACTGGAATTCTTTTGGACAGTGTGGATCCGATGGCCTGGCTCATCAGAGCCACAAAAATACAACGCTTTAGTTGATAGTGGTGCACAGTGCACCGTGACACCATCGGGACATGGGGGGCAGAACCTCTTTCCATTGCTGGGGTGACGGTATGATGCTTGTATCCCCAGTCATGTTCTGTTAATGCTGGATATTATGTTCTGTGCCTTCAAGACTGGCTCTGAAGAGCAAGGTTTGTTTTGGTTTGTTATCAGCCTGCTCCCCACGGCTGACGGGACACAGAGACGGGGCAGTACATAGTGCAGCTTTTGCTTTCTGCTTTGCTTTTTGCTTTGTTTTGCTTCTGCTGTGCTCCTGATTTGTTCTTGCTTTTTGCTTCTGCTTGTTAGTTAGTTTAGCTAAGCCAGATTTTTCCCTGGACTGTTTTCCCTTTCCCTTTTTTGAATCACTCAAGCCTGCTCCAGACTGGGACCTGGGAAACACCAAGAGTTTACATCTGGTGGCTGCAGCAGCCATCCCCAGCGCCGGAGGGAGCGACAACAGAGTGACCACTCCCAGGAGAGACTTTCTGAATTTGTAATCTTTCTCAGAGCGGTGAAAGACTGTTGTCATCCGGTATTGTTCATTTTGTGTGCTGGGGGTGTTTTGCCTGTTAAATAAACTGGTTCCTTCCACTTCTCTCTGAGGAATCCTTCCCGAACCAGTTGTGGGGAGGGGCCATGTGGGTTTGCTTTCTCAGGGGGCCACCTTTGGAGGTTTTCTCCCAAATTTGCCCTAAACCAGGACACAGGGTGATCATAACAATTGACCCTGTTGGAAGCTGAGGTGAGCCTGACTGGGAAGGAGTGGCAGAAACATCCTGTTGTGACTGGCCCACAGGCCCCGTGTATTCTGGGCATGGATTTCCTCCAGAATGGCTTTACAAAGACCCAAAGGGACTCAGGTGGGCTTTTGGAATAGCTGCTGTAGAGGCAGAGGACATCAAGCAATTGAACACCTTGCCTGGACTATCAGAAAACCCATCTGCAGTAGGACTCCTGAGGGTAGAACAGCAACAAACACCATTGGAGGGGTGCCTGGTGATAATGGGGGCACCCAGCTGATGACGGGGGTGGGGGGGGACAGGGCCAAGCCCCAAGGGACCCTCCCAGTGCTGGGTACACCCCCTGTGCTCCCCCGGTGCTCGGGGCCCCCCCGGTCCCGCTCCTGGCCCCCTCCCCAGTCCCGGCGCTGTTCCTGGGGGTCCCACGGCTCCTGGGAGTCAAAGGGGCAGGGGTAGAACCCCCGTGATGGGGGGGACACAAAGGGGGGTATGGGCCCGGTGCTTGGCTGGGGTCAGTACATGAGAGGGAGCTCAGTCCTGCGGCTCAGATGTTTGCATTTTTGCAATCGAGTTTCTCATGCATTTTCATGTAAATAATTATTGTTTTGCAATCTTTCCTGGAGTCAGAAAAAATTGATTGACTGTTCTTTCGACCAGTGAGGTTGGGGAGGTGGCAACTTAACCCTCCAATCCCTGGCAGTTTTTGTTTTTCTATATATATTGGAATGGCAAGAATAAAATGCTTTTTTTTTTTACCCTGGACGTGCAAGCGAGCTCTTGTGGTTCATTCCGTTTCATACTGCGACACAGGAGCGTCCCAGTGCCTGGTGGCACCTGAGTGTCCACAAATGTCCCCAGTGATGTCACTGCCCCAATGACATCACAGCAGTGACATCATTGTCCCTGCAGCAGCCTCGGGATATCCTCGATGGCTTTTTGGCACTGATCAGCCCCGTGGGCTACCAAGGCCACCATGGCCACCATAGGGACTCAAGAGGAGTTTGTGGATGTCCCCAAGTGTCCTCAGCAGGTGACACGTGGCCAGGCAGGCGCTGGCCTCCCACAGCTGCTCGGCCTCTGCTACTTTCGAGTTTCTCATGCATTTTCATGTAAATAATTATTGTTTTGCAATCTTTCCTGGAGTCAGAAAAAATTGATTGACTGTTCTTTCGACCAGTGAGGTTGGGGAGGTGGCAACTTAACCGTCCAATCCCTGGCAGTTTTTGTTTTTCTATATATATTGGAATGGCAAGAATAAAATGCTTTTTTTTTTTACCCTGGACGTGCAAGCGAGCT